ATTGGTACAAATAGGCCTTTTATTGAAGAGAGACCTATGATTCTCCTTAGAGTCTCAAGTAAAAAAAAGTAATAGCTACTTTATTTTTGGTAGCTCTTTTCCTCTGTTATGGCAAAAGACACATAAATAAAATGTACCATCTTAATTACCACTTTAAAGTATCGGGTTGGCCAAAAAGTTCGTTCGGGTTTTTCTATAACATCTTACAAAAACCTGAACGAACTTTTTGGCCAGCCCACTATATCGTTCAGGGTCATTAAAGACGTTCATGTTGCTGTGCAACCATCACCACTGTCCAGCCCCATAATTCTTTTCATCTTGTGAACCTGAAACTCTGTACCTATTAAACAGTAACTCCCCATTCTCCCCCAGACCCTGGCAACCATCATTCTACTTTCTATGATCTTTGACCTACTCTAAGTACCTTATGTAAGTGGAGTCATGCAGTATCTGTCTTTTTGTGACTGGTTTATTTCACTTTGCATAATGTCCTCAAGATTCATTATGTTGTAGCACATTGCAGAATGTCCTTCCTGTTTAAGGCTGAATAATATTCCATTGTATGTATATACCACATTTTGCTTATCCATTCACCCATTGAGGACACATGGGTTCCTTCCATGCTTTGGCTGTTGTGAATATTTTATTTATTTATTTATTTATTTTTCTTAGTTGTTTTGGCTGCGTCAGATCTTAGTTGCAGCGCACAGGATCTTTTGTTGAGGCATGCGGGACCTTTTCATTATGGCACGTGATCTCTTTGTTGTGGGGCTCGGGTTTCTCTCTAGTTGCGGTGCTTGGGCTTCTCTCTAGTTGTGGTGTGCGGGTTTTCTCTCCCTAGCTGTGGTGTGCGGGCTCCAGGGCGCGTGAGCTCAGTAGTTATGGCATGTGGGGTCCAGAGCGTGTGGGCTCTGTAGTTTGCTGCACGTGGGCTCTCTCATGTGAGCTCGATAGTTGCGGTGCTCGGGCTTAGTTGCCCCGCGGCATGTGGGATCTTGACCAGGGATCGAACCTGTGTCTCCTGCATTGGAAGGCATATTCTTTACCGCTGGACCACCAGGGAAGTCCCTAGCTATTGTGAATAATGCTGCTGTGAACGTGGGTGTACAGTATAACTACTTTTTAAAAGCAAGTTCATAAGCACAAGTTTCCCCTTGTTTCTTTTGAGTTGTATATTAAGAGACTTTCTGAATCTGTGAAGCTTCTGGTGCCTCAACTTACCTTAAAGTTCTGAGTGAGTGTGCCTTTCACACATGTGTGTTCTTCCCCTGAGGGCATGTGGCCGGGCTCTGGAAGTTCTTCTCGTCCCTAAGGAGATAACAGCCGCTGTATAGAAAGCAAAGGGCTGGGGCATCCTCATGGGCCTTCTCCAGAGCTGACCCCTACCACTTTGCCTTCTTCCCTTGGCAGGTTACTCCAGCCACAATGCAGAAGGATTGGCCAAAAAGGAGCCTCTTTCTGTGCTGGGGAGTGAGCAAGGGAAGGACCAATGTGTTTCTCCTCCCTAGTTCCCAAAGTCTGGGACTCCCTCCTTTTCATGCACTTGGCATTATGGTCCCTCCCTGGGTGAGTGTGGATTTTGAAGTCAGACTTGGATTTGCATTCTGTCTCTCCCACTATCCGCTGCGTTATTTGGAGGCAGTTATTAAAGTTCTTTGAACTTTAGTTTCTTCATTTGTAAAATGGGGATAAAATACCTACCGTGAAATGACATTGTTAAGACTGAGAAGACGTACATAAGGTGATGAGTGCTGAGCCTGACCATATACATAGGAGCAGCTTCTTCATTAAAACCCAGGCTCTCTGCTACAAATCTAAAGGTAGGGATTTCTAATGTGAAAGCATTGCTAAATCTGGTCAAGGGTTTTTTTGTTTGTGAAACTTTGTGGAGTGGAAACCAGCAAGTCTACCAAGCAAACTGAAAAGATAAATCTGGACTTAGTGGATATAAAGATGGAGGCGTTAAAGGCTAAGCGGGGATGGGAGCAGAGGGAGAAATAAAGATCTGTTATTATCTATAACGTGAGCATTGTCCCATCTCTGCAATTGTTGGCAAAAGAGAGGCAGGCTGTGTCACTCCATCGGGACATCCTTGACGTGCCCTCACATCTCCACAGTACATGAGCAAAACTCCTGCTGAGGAACTAACTTTGCATTCTTTTGAATATTTTAAAAGATTTTTTATGCAATCAACTGTACAATGAAGGAAAACATAACACTGTTTACATCTAAACATCAATAGAATCAAAAACAGGAAACAGCAAATCACACACAGAAGACACCTAAACCAAGTCACTGTTTATATGCTCTTTCTATGTCACTATTTATACAGAATTAATTTTATATAGCTGCTACCAGTGTGTATATGCCATTCCAAGTTCTACTTTTCCCCACTAATTTGTATAGATTCCCCCCATATTTCTGTAGTTCTCATACTTAACATTTCAAGTGGCAATATTTATATTGATTTGTTTTATATCTATATCACAAGCTTTGGGGTTGGTTTTTTACTCTAAAATAAATGTTTCTTTTACATAACTACTCAATGCTATTTCAATACAAATTCCTCCTCCCTTGTCAAAAGCTCTGATAAATATGATGACATTTGTCATCTTTTATGAACTTTATCTCTAGAAAGATTGTATTAATACTAATCAAGGCTACCAGCAATGGATAAGTATACCTGAAGTGGAATTATTCCCATTTCCCCCAATACTGGCTTTGTAATTTTCTTTTCTGTGAATGTAATAGGAGTGGAGCAAGTATCTTATAGTTGCTTTAATTTTTAATTCTAAAAGTATAATGAATGTCAACATTTTCTTGTTTCTTAAAACTGAACTATTTCTAACTCCGTTTATATGAATTACCTAATCCAGGAATTGGCAAATGACAGCCCTTGGGCTAAATATGGCCAGTTGCCTGCTTTTAGAAATAAAGTTACTGGAACACAGCTGTGCTCATCTGTTTACATGTTGTCTACTGCTGTGGTTGAGCTACAGTGGCAGAGTTCAGTAGTTGCAACAGAGCAAAGTCTAAAATATTTACTATCTGGCTCTTTATAGAAAAAGTTTTCAGACTCTAATCCCATCTCTTAGCTCTTACTCACTCTTGTTCTACCACAATTTATGCTCGTGCAATATCAATGTCAAAGTACTGTGGTTCCTCACATGTTGTGATAATTTATGTTTTAGTGTCTTTACACATGCTCTTCCCTCTGTCTGGAATTTCCCAACTCCACTCTGCCAGGAAGGTTCAGCCTTCCAAACCCTCCTTGAGGGGTGCTCATCCTATAAAGCATTCCCTTTAATTCAAATTCATAACTTTACTTTTTGTTAGAAGATATTGACAGTTGGAACGAGAATCAAGAAAACAATGCCTGGAAAAGTAATTTGTAAAACTATAGATGCTATATAAAAGTAACAACTTCTAATAATAACTATTATTATACTTGGCAGCATCAGTGCCCGCCTTTGTTTCTACTTTTATTTCAAACCATTTACAGGGAGCTTTTTAGACCAAAGCACCCCTGTTGGCTCTCATGGAGTAAAGGATCTAAGAACACCTTTCCCATAATCTCTCTTTGTTAAATACCAACAACATATTTGGGTGCCTGGACTAGTTATTTTGGCAACACCAGAGACCAATTCAGATTAATTAGATGTGTCAGCAATTATTGACTAATCATTAAGATGACTCAAAACATCAATCAACCAACCAAACCAAAAAGACCAACTCTCTGAGTTGTCCTGTTTGACTCCACAGAACAAGTTTGGAATCCTAGAGAAGCAATAAACATAAAATTCTGAGAAGATATGCTAAGGCAAAAAGCCTTTCTATCCATTGGTTGCGGGTAATTACGTTGAGAACATAGCTCTGCACCACTATGTATATAGATCTACCTATCTATCTATATTTATTTATATATCTTTATATCTATCTATCTATAACATATATATATTTTTAATGGGTCTGCATTCCTCTCTCTGCATCCCCTTCCTTTGGGAATCAAAAACATCTCATAGAAAATATTTTCATGAAATCTAATATATATAAAAACTGTATAGTGTGTGTGTGTGTGTGTGTGTGTGTGTGTGTATGTGTGTGAATACAGTGTACTAATTTAAACGATGATGTCCAGTGGATCCGGAAGGAGTTTAGAGATTTCCATTTGCTTTGTGAAAAGTTTGATATGTGTGTTGAAAGCCATGAAGCGAAGGTTCAGATTACGCCACGTGAAAGCTTGGGTGGTTCTGAATGCTGAGTCCCAGAGACAAAAGCTCTTAGTTATAACTGCATTTCTGGAGAGGAGGGCGCCAGTTCATTCACCACTTCCATTAAGGAACAACTACTTCTTTTAGCGGTGCTCTTCTCTCAGGAAGTGCAATATATAGTAAGGGCAGAAAAATAAGCAAAGGAGGAAATCTGTTATTGATTTTCTTTTCTTCTGTGAAATTACATGAAAGCTCAATGGCTTGGAAAAGTAACTTAGTCAATAAGGCTCCATTTGAGACCACCTTGAAGTTCAATTCTCTCTCAATCCTTTTAAACTTCCTCTAGTGTTGGATTCTTTTGTATTTAATTATCTTTGGTGCTGAGATACTATGAAGCTTTTTTATTCATCACACCAGAGAGGATTTTGCTAAAGGTAAAACTGTGAAGTATTCCCAGACAGTAAAGTTCCATCAGTCCTTTTTGGTTAGAAATCAATAGCACTGAAAACCAATCCTTAAAAGCCAAGGAAAAAAGACGAAGAAGGTGAATAGTAGGACTCCTTACTGTAAAGCAATTTTTCAATATTAAGGTGTTGCTGGATTTTCTTGGGTTTGAGCTGCAGAGAGACTAAGCTCAGTGTTTTCTCCAGTGGGAGTGGGGAAGGTCATTTATGTCAGGCTCACCATTATGTGAGTGTACATTTTGGTCATAATACTTGCTAATGTTTATTGAACATTTACTGTGTGCTTGATAGTATGCTGAGTCTTTATATGGTTTCTGTTCTGTAGGGAAGCAATAAGTCGCCTGTGTGAAGCTGTCCCCGGGGCAAATGGAGCCATTAAAAAGCGAAAGGTAAATATTGGTGTTTTTTTTTTTTTTTTTTTTTTTTTTTTTTTTTTAGTTTCCCTAACTATGGGAAAGATAGTATCAAAATAGTTGTTAGTTCATTCCACCACATGACCCAAGGTCTAGAATGGCCTTGATTATTTGACATGCTATCTGAGATGCACTCAAAGTTGTTCTTGTCCCTCAAATTTTTCTGACTTGCCAGACACTGTCTGAAATGGTGTTGCCTGAGGGTCAGAGTAGAGAAAGCACCTGGGTCTTTTCAAGTCAGAATATCTGGTTGCAGAGCTAGGTATTTACTTACCTTTGAGCATGGTATCTCATCTCTCCAAAACTCCATTCTTGTTCCTGTAAAGTTAAGCTGTTGAACCAGATGACCAATTTTGGTACCTTCCAATTTCAATATTTTATAATGTATGTATTCTGCATTTTAACATTTTAGACTTTTAGGACTCCATGGCCTATTTTCAGATGGAAACAAGAGTGCTGGTAGAGGTAAGGGTAATAAATGGGTAGAAGGAGCTTTTCATGTTGAAAGAAATCATGAGATTTGATGTTAGACTTGCACTTAAATCCTGTCTCTGCCACCTACTAACTGTGTGATCTTGATCAAGTCATTTCACCTTTCGAATCCTTGGTTTCCTCATTTGTAAAGTAGGAGAAAACAGCCCTTAGTTTATAGAATTATGTAAGAATTAAATGAAGTGATGTGTTAAGTGTCTTGCTTATATTAGGCTTTCAATGCTAATGCTAGTTAGTATTATCCCTAGAATACTTAGTTGCTTTGAAAAGTCCAAAGGGGAGGTGCAATGGTGCTTAAGATAACTATATAAATTATAGAAGTATAGACTGTTTAAGAGGGGAGGAATTTTTAGAGATCTCCCAGTTGAACCCTCTCACTTTGCCAGCTGCTAAACCGTGGCTCAGAGAAGAGACTTGCCTTGAGTCACTAGGAAGATCAAGGTCAGCACCAGCTGTAGACGCCAGGTCTTCAGAGTCCCGGCTTTACTGCTCTATTTCCATACCACCCTGCCTAATTTTTTATCATTACTCATTATTTTGCATAGGACTGAACCCACTGTCACCCAGGGTGACTCAGATGAGCCACGTGATCTGGGAAACTCTGAAGAATGGCTCTTGAATTCTACTAGAACTCCCATTACTAGTTTCTCTGACAGAACCGATGGTCTGTCTGTAGCCTCTAGCCTCCTCCTGCCTCTCATAACCTCTGTGAATAGGAGGTTCCGACTGGAAGATCCCAACAAACAGGCTTATTCACTTAAGACTTTCTCATTTCAGGAGTAGTGGGATCCACACTCCAAAACAAAATAAAACAAAAGCAAACCGGGCTGTCATCTTTCCAGAAAGTACACATGTAAAGAAGTAAAAAAAAAAAAAAAAAGAAATTTTTGAGCTAATTCCCTTTGGTAGCTAGCTTTTTTATTGAGTACGTAATACATGCCAGGGACTCTTCCACGCACTTTATATTTTTTATATTCTTTTTCCTCCGCAATTTGAAAAATTGTGATAAAATACACATAACATAAAATCTACCATTGGAACCATTTCTAAGGGTATAGTTCAGGGATATTAAGTACATTCATACTGTTGTTCAATCGTCACCCCCATCTATCCCCATAACTCTTTTTTTTTTTAAGAAATAAAGTCATTTACTTGAAGAACAGAATATACTTAGAATTGTTTGCTTCTATAAAGCCCATTTCCCCCAAGCCTTAACTTGAAATTTCATATTAAGCAATGAAGTTATTTTACACAATCTAGTTAAACAATTTATTAGGAATAGTCCCGTAACTCTTTTTTTATCTTGTAAAACAGAAAGTTTATACTCATTAAAAAACAACTTCCCATTCCCCCCCGTCTCCAGCCCCTGACAACCACCATTCTACTTCCTGTCTCTATGATTTTGACTACTCTAAGTATCTCATATAAGTGGAATCATACCGTATTTGTCTTATTATGACTGGCTTATTTCACATTACTTCACATAATGTCCTCAAGGTTCATCCATGCTGTAGCACATGTCAAAATTTCCCTCCTTACTAAGACTGAATAAATATTTCATTGTATGTATATATCACATTTTGCTTTCCATTTATCTGTTGATGGACACTTGGGTTACTTCCATGTTTTAACTATTGTAAATAATGCTGCTATGAACATGGATGTACAAATATCTCTTCAAGTCCTTGCTTTCAGTTCTTTTGGGTATATAACAAAAAGTAGAAATTGCTGGATCATATGGTAATTCTAGTTTTAATTTTTTGAGGAGCTGCTGTACTGTTTTCCATAGCTGTTGTACCATTGTACATTCCTACAAATAGTGTACAAGGGTTTCAGTTTCTCCACATCCTTGCTAACACTTGTTATTTTCCCTTCCTTCCTTCCTTCCTCCCTTCCTCCCTCCCTCCCTTCCTTCCTTCTGACTAGTTATAGGTCTACACAGATTTTCTGTTTCTTCATGATTTAGTCTTGGTAGCTTTTATGTTTCTAGGAATTTGTCCATTTCATCTAGGTAATCCAGTGTGTTGACATACAACTGTTCATAGTATTCTCATAATCCTTTTACTTCTGTTGAATTGGTAGTAATGACCCCACTCTCATTTCTCATCTTACTAATTTGAGTCTTCTCTCTTTTTTTCTTAGTTTATCTAGCTAAAGGTTTGTCAATTTTGTTGATCTTTTTGAAGAACCAACTTTTGGTTTCATTTTTAACATTTAAAAAACATAAATATTCATTCTGTAACAAAGTCCATAACTTACAGAGTGTTGTTATGTTATTTTTAAAGCCTCCAGCTAAGTTCCTATCAACAGTTCTTGGCAAAAGTAATCTTCAGTTTTCGGGAATGAATATAAAACTGACCATCTCAACATGCAGCCTCACATTGATGAATCTTGACAACCAACAGGTAAGATCATGAATGTCACTTATAGTTTAACATATCATCTATTTTTCTAGAACAGTCTGGGCATAATGAAGAGAATAAAGTTTCAGACAGTGTGCCTAAAACTTAATAAGACATGAGGGAAAAAAATCTGCCAAGGATTTATGTGTAGCAATAATTAGGACAACAGTATTACTAACCCATCACTGGGGCATTTAACTGCCTACATACTTGCCCTTACCTATCGGCTTTGTAATAAAAACTAAGGTGCAAAGAACATATTAAGTACCATTTGGAATATACTTGAGTCAGTCATTTATTACTCTCCGCTACCCCTCTCCAAAGGGAAAGAAATTCCATCATCAGAACTAACAGACTGCATGTTGGAATGGGGATGCACATGAAGGACAGAGGGGAAGGGTGATGTTAGGGTCAATGTTCTAGCTAACCGAAATTTAAGCAGAAAACATTTTCTTCCAACCCTGAAGATTGAAAAGCCTTCTCAAATGTTATTGTGTAAACAACTTTTTCATCTTTGATGATTTATGATTCTATAGTGTGCCTGAGTTCTCACTGTAAACATTATTTCTCAAAGAACAGCATTGTTGAAGCAAATATAAAAGATATACAGGCATTGCGCTAAATATGTACTTTAAACTAGGACACTCTTTTTTGACTTATTTTTTAAACTAAATTCCTCATATCAGGTTATTTATGTATGTTAGAGTCTAATTTTTCTTTCTCTAATATGTAGTGATTTGAGGTTCTTAGTATTTAAGTTTTTACTGTGTGGAGTGCTATTGATCAGGGACTCACGCAAGGTTTAACGTGTACTTGTCAGTGATAAAACAGTAAGAGGCTTTGAGGTTACATGTAGGTTGAAAGCCTGGCTTTGCCACTAACAAGCAAGTTACCCTACCACTCAATTTTCATCATCAGTGAAATGAGGATTATAGTCTTAAACATAGAGTTTCTGAGAAGATGGTCTTAGCAACAGTATGTGTCTTATTGGGTTATTTAGAGGATTAAGTAAGATCATGTAAATCACTGGATGTAAATCACTCAGCACAGTGCCCGTTGCACGGTGCATTTTTCCTTGAGGCCTTTTCATATACTCAGTACTTAGCAGGGAAAGCATATTGTAATATGTAAAATTATAAAATTGTCAGTAACATATAAGTACAGTTATAAACATTTTGATTTCCATTTTTTACCAAAAAATTCACTTGCAGTTTTTTTTTTTAATTTTTCTTGGAGTATAGTTGATTTACAATGTTGTGTTACTTTCTGCTGTATAGCAAAGTGAATCAGTTATGCATATACATATAGCCACTTTTTTTTAGATTCTATTCCCATATAGGTCATATACAGACTATTGAGAAGAGTGCTATATAATTTATTTATTTATTTATTCATTCATTTATTTTTGGCTGCGTTGGGTCTTCGTTGCTGCACGCAGGCTTTCTCTAGTTGCGGCGAGCGGGACTACTCTTGCTTGCGGTGTGTGGGCTTCTCATTGTGGTGGCTTCTCTTGTTGCGGAGCACAGGCTCTAGCAACATGGGCTCATAGTTCTGGCTCACGGGCTTAGTTGCTCCACGGCATGTGGGATCTTCCCTGACCAGGGCTCGAACCCGTGTCCCCTGCATTGGCAGGTGGATTCTTAACCACTGTGCCACCAGGGAAGCCCTCCTGTTTTGTATAGTAGGTCCTTATTAGTTATCTATTTTATATATAGTAGTGTGTATATGTCAATCCCAATCTCCCAGTTTATCCCTCCCCAACCCGGCTTCCCCCCACCCCCTGGTAACCATGTTTGTTTTCTACATCTGTGACTCTGTTTCACTTGTGGTTTTGAGGTTTGCTTTATTTTCTAAATTCAAAAGCAGAATAAAATACATTGCTTACACAGTAGTATAAAGCACCATAGAGGAAAATGTTTAATATGAAACAATTTTAAATAGATTCCTGTCTGGTTGAATCAAGATTGGTTATCCAAGAGAGGTGATACCATTGATACCTGACAGCAGAACATATGGGGCTGTACTTGGAAGATGCAGCCAATCTGGGTGGAAGGTGAAACATTAATTGTCCTTCGGACGCTTTGCCCTCAAGACATTTGTGGATGTAAAATTTAGTTTTAGTTTTCACCCATGTGGATGGTACCAGGGATGCTCAACTCTTTTAGTTATAGGATTTCATTGAGTATAGGAACCCTTGAATTATCTGAGTTTCGTAGGGGAGGAAGAGTAGGCAAAACGAGAGCCATCACGATGACAGCTGTGTAGAATTGAATGAGCATTTTTAAAAATAGCTCTTTCCATGGGTGACTGAAGTGAATTGGGAATTTAGGAAAAGGAGGGTTGTGGTGTGTATGGTGGAGGGCACGTTATTCTCAAAATCTCTTTCCCCTCTGCTACCCCTTTCCAGGCCACTGCAGTTAGAGCTGGTATTGCCACATGTCCATAGTCTTTCAGGTGAATAAAAGGAGGGACAGTGGGCATGGGTGGCTTCCACGACCAATAGTTACAGCAAAGAGCTGCTTTGGGGAGTGGCTCACATCTTTTCTGCACTGGTGGCATCGAATGGGCTGTGCTCAGCCCACCGCTGGAGTGGGGACCAAAGTTAGGATCTCATTGATATTAGACCCAGGGGCTGATTTTTAAAAATAACTTTGAACTATTCTGCAGACCTGGGGAGAATGGCCACGGGGATGAGGTTTGGGGTGTAAAAAAGATGTGCCGCTCTAGATGCTTAAACTCAAGAAGCTTTATACGTTCCTTCAAAAGGACAGCTAAAATGTCCAAGGGATAAAGGCAGCAGAGAAGTGACCGTGTGGACATAGCATGAGAAAATGCTTTATCAATTAAATTTTCCTTAAAGAAAACTAGCCTCTGAAGTTCTAAGATAAATACAAATATCCTCCCCCCACCCTTAACTTCAAAGATATACTTTGGACTGAAAACATAAACAGCTTCAAGTTTATAGATACATTCATAGATGACAGAGCATTTATGGGTCAGATGGTTCACATTTATCTTGTCACTGAGAACATCAAGAATGTAACCATTCACTCCCAGAAAATGTCTCACAGAACCTCAGGGGCAGAAAATAAGATATTAAACATGCAAACATGCAATGCTTGCAATTTTTAAAACTTACCATATTTGGGGATGGGAAAATATATTTTGCAAAAGCAAGTTATAGGGGTTTTTATATAGTCCTTGTTTTAAAAATTCAAGCAACAGGGCGCAGTGGTTGAGAGTCCGCCTGCCGATGCAGGGGACACGGGTTTGTGCCCCCGTCCAGGAAGATCCGGCCCGTGAGCCATGGCCGCTGAACCTGCGCGTCCGGAGCCTGTGCTCCACAATGGGAGAGGCCA